AAAGGTTGTCTGACATGTGCCATGTATTTCCTGACATGTGTCATGTAATTTCTGACATTTGTCACATGTTTTATTGACACGGGTCACGTGTTCCTGACATGATTCAAGCACGCACTGACACGCGTCACTGTGTGTCATGTGTCACAAACTATCTGTCACACGTGTGCCATTGACGCCTGCATTCATTCCCCAAACCGCTGCTTCCCTTGTCGATCAAAGCCTGCTATCCCATTAGCGTAAGCTTTTGTCTTGTATCGTGCATTTTTTTTGTTGAAATAATCCACACATCTCTCTAAATTTAAATTATCCCACCCAACACCTAATGCTAATTACGTTTTATCCACGAATACATGCGTTCAATGTTCGTAGCTTACATGCTTACATCGATAGGCGGTTGTAATTGTGTTCAGTTTGACCTTTTGCTTAAGAGAATAAATTAATATTAACTAAATCAATTAATTTTCTGTTATGAAAAAAAAATCAACTTTTTATTTTTTTATTTCTTTTTTTAATTAATTTTTTTTTTTTTAAATTATTTTTTTTTTTTTTGCAAAAAGTGAAATTTACGTTTGTTTACTATCATTTTAACCGTAACCTTCAATGCATGGGTTTATCAGCTGAGTTGGGCTCGAACCTGTTATCCCATCATGCGTAGCGTCAAAAGGTGACCCGCTTCTGTTGACCTACTCCCTGACTTCCCATTCTATCTCGGCCACGCTTCAGTGATTTCCTATCACACAAACGTTGATACGCTCGGGTGCAAAAGTAAAATATTTATATAGCATGACGTCAGAGATTTTTTTTCTCAAAAAAAAAAGGAAAAAAAAAACAACTCCGGATACGAGATGTAAGATATTAAAGTCTTAAACACTAGCTTTATATACCTGTTGTGGCGTTGTGGGGCTTAATATATAAAAACTATGATCCGGAAACCATGGAAAGCGTCTCGTCGCCGTCGAGAATCTCGCGAGAGTACTTCGTTTCAACAAGTACTATGACATATATATATATATATATATATATATATATATATATATATATATATATATATATATATATATATACATGTATAGAAAGATGATTGACGCCGTAATGTTACAGTTGTTAGTGCCGGGTATTGAAAGGTCTAGAATTCTCTCGTCAATTTACCACAGAAACTCCTGCAGCGCCAGGAGCCACCGCGGCCCATAGACACCGCTCGGCGGGCGGATACACACAACACACACACACAATACACAATTTACACCTCGTGTTGCTACCGTAAAACCTCCAAAGTAAAGCGCCTGGCTCCCGTTTACTTACGTGGAACGAATCAAATGTGATAAAGTTGTCTTGACATTGTGGGACTGAATCTTGGTCTAGTTTGTTATGATGATGACGGGGAGGGGGGAGTATGGGCCCAGCGAACTGTTAAAACCGCAGATGGGGTGGGGGATAGAAGGGAGGGAGGGGGGGAGAGTGTGACAACCGCCGGCTGTGGGGCGAGGTTGATAAAAAGGGAAATAGAAAAAAATGGCAGCTGTAACTCGCAGACGTCGATACGGAGAGCGGAGGTTTACATGTTGTTGTGTAAACTATTCGCACAACTGTTGTGTGGCGCCGTGACGAGTATCAGAACGTGTGTATACTGTGGCTATTTTCACGAATTTTGTGTGGCGCAGCTGTTATCTCAGCTGTTAATGTGTGGTGACTATTATCACAATTTTTTGTGTGTTGGTGACTATTATCACACCTTTTTGTGTGCGGTGACTATTATCACAACTTTTGTGTGCGTAGACTGTGTCCAGTACATATACTTCAGAATTTGGAGTTCTAAAGTATGTGACTAAAAAAAGAATCAAGTACGAATTAAGCATTCCATTTAAATCAAGTTATTTATTTTTTTAAATTTTGATAATTCCAAGAGGTTCTTTATAAATATTCCAAATTCAGTGTATACTTAGTTTATTCTTAGCTATGAAGTCATCGTTCAGATAGGGGAGATAATTTGAGTATTTTGTTCCACATGAACCACGACTTACGTCCCTTGATTGTGGAAGTACCACTCGTTAAGGCTTTAAGACAACTCGTGGGTGCTTTAGAGTGACGAGTAGCAAGAACTGGAGTGTGAGAAGTGGCACAGGCATAAAAAATGTTTGCGGTCAAGTTGGTCTATATTGGTGTCAGCGTGGACTATTTCTCATGTTTCTATTCAGCGTATTGTAGTTTTCTAAATTCGTATTTTCGAGATTTCTTAATTTAAAAGGTTAATCCTATTCCGGTTGTTAACTAAAACAAATATTTTGAGTTTGGGGTCGGTAAACTTTAGCTTTGAGTAAAATTCTAATTAATGATTAGATCAAAACAAATCAGCTTAAATCGGTTATGGATTCCACACCGAAAAAATCGAAACAAACTTTCTTTTCTTTACTTTCTATGTCAGAAAAAAAAGCCCCAATCAAAACAAATATTAAGTTTAAATTTAAATACTTCTTGCAAAAGCTATGATTTTGCAACCCTTAACCTCAGTCTTAAACCTTAACCCCAACCTGATTAACTTTAATTCCGGGATCTATTTTGAAACAAAACATCGATACAAATACAAATCCAGTGTTTTCATGAAAAACTTAAAAGTTAATTCATCAATTAAAGGCGAAATAAAGTTGTTTAAATGTTAAACTACAATTAATACAACTTTATTGATTTCCATTTAGGCCCAAATGTTTCTCAGAGTTTCTGTAACATTTCTTTCTTATTTTAACAGATCAGCTTAGCAAAAAAAAAATGTTTTTCAATGTATCCATTAGTTTTTTCCCTTTATTAGTACGTAGCTGTGATATTCATATCTCCAACTATTGAATTGTTCCGTACTGCTGTTATAAAAAAACAAACTATATGCCTAGTTTTTAAATTTTCCGTCGCGTCCTCAGCAGCCATAATTCATGTGATTTCAAGTGTGAAATAAAAACACCGGATGTTTTGCTAGACCGTACGGAACAAAAACACATTTTACATATCAATAACAAGAGTTTATGAGATGGAGGCGTGATCTACGTTTTATGTACAATTTTAAAACCTTTCCGTGGATTCTAACTTAAACCGTTGATCGATTGATTGATTTTCTGAAGATTCGGGGAATTGTTCCATTATCATGTAGTAAACACATTTAAATGTGTTTTTGGATACATAATATATTGGGAAAAAGTAATTAATTATCGTGATATTAAAATGTTCTGTTTTGGACTGCGTCAGTTTTTTTATGTAACGGCAAGTTTTTCGCTTCTTGATTACAAATTATTAAAAATACTCGCTCGTTGATTGCTGATTACTTTACTAATTAACTTGAAAATGATGTGGTTCATTATCTTATCAATTACAAATTTTTAGTGTGACTAAACTTAACCTGGCAAACAAACAATAATGTTTTAAAATTTTTAATTAACACATTTACGTGCGTATTTGATAGATAAGGCAATGGTATTTTCCACGTTTGAAATGAAAACAGATTAAAAAAAACAACTTTGGTTATGATTAAACATAGACAGAGATAGGGTTAGGACTAACGTTGGGGGTAGACGAAGACAGTGATCAAATGTATAGGGTTAAATTATATATAACTGTTGGTTAAGGATATTCATATGGGTATGTTATATAATATGTACGCCATCCTCAATGCTTGGGATATGTTTGTGTTACACATCGGTATGGTGTCATATATGACCATTAACATATAAAGTTTGTCGATTCGTTGTCCCGTGGTTTAAAAACCGACTTAAATGGTTTTGATGTTTGGAAAATCTATCCATTCCAAATACACCACCAGTTTACCGTCTCCAGAAAAAGCTTACCCTCAGCGTAAAGATACGTAACTCTGCCTAGCTTTATTTACTTTTTAACTGGGACTTTAACCCCAGGCTCATACATGACCTTGATGTAACCCCCCCCCCTTCTTCCCCACAACCACCTGACCTGGAGTCTTCAAACCACCAACACAAAAAATGTTTTTAGTATTTTCTTTACACCAAACGTAAGCCGCCGTATCCGTTTCGCATCATTAAACAAAGTAAAAAAAAAGTCTCACCAATAAATTTCAATACATTTGACGTCAGGGGTAGGTAAATAATCTAACCTGATAAAAGAGGAGGAGGGATGGGGTGGGTTAGTAGGGTAGTTCCCAGACGTAACGTGGTGTACAATTACTTTTAGATTAACTTACATCTCAAGAACTAGCTAACTTTCATGGTACTAAAACCAAAATGTCTTAAGGTAATTCACACATTCGGTGACTTGTCTAGAAACTTTGACTTTTTTTCTTTAAATTCTCTGGGGCACTTTCTTATATATATATATATATATATATATATATATATATATATATATATATATATATATATATATATATATATATATATATATATATATATATGTATATATATGAGTATACCTATATGAGTGTATATGTATATGTATATATATATATATATATATATATATATATATATATATATATATATATGTCTGCCTGTATGCGTTTGCGTATGTAGGCCTACATAGGACTGCTATATGCAGTACAGAAGGCTAAACGTCCCGATGTTTCTGATTACCAGAGTCGAGATATGGGCCAAAGATTTCTTAAGTTGGTTTTTATCGGAGTGAAGATGTTGATGTGCTCCTATGAACTTGTTTAGTGCTGTCGTTTGTAATCAGCTGAGGCGGGAGAGTGTTTTACTCGGTCCTGTTCGACTGTTGGAGTATTTACCCTGTGGTCCGCTTGTGGTCTTTGTGGTCTCTAAGGATGGCCCGTGGCCGTATATATTCTGGGTTCGATGTCTTGTTTTGTTAAAATAAAATTCGTCCCCGGATTTGTTTGGTAATTAGTTTTTTTTTGTTTCTTCTGGTTGTGTTTAAAATTCGGTTAGTGTTACATATTCATTTTAACGAATTCAGTTTTCTTGCGCGTCCGCAGAATAAGTTTTTTCAGTTTTTCATCTTTTATGAAACCTTAATTTTTTCTTGCTTAGTTTACTGTGTAGAGTGGAACATAAATTGTGAAGGAATATCAAGAAATGAAGTGACTTCAAAACTAGAAATTCATAAACAGTTTAATTTCAAACGTGAAATCATCTTATTCAGTATTATACATATATATCAAGAACAGAGTTAACCCTTTCAAATCCAGGACTTTGTCACAGTAATACACGTTGAGTGCAATCTAGTCATACCATTAACCCTTTCAAGACAAGCTTTAAACGTGTTTAATTTATAATTTAATTCCAACTTGGACTTAAAATTGAAGTTCATCAGTCGGAATAGAAATTGTGTATTTGATTTGTCAATATCAAGAACTCAAGTGTTCAGAAGTTTCCAGAATTATTCCGTAACATGCCAACATTTTGTTAACTAAACATTGTTAGCGCGAAAAAATTCTGAAAAAAATTACTTTAAAACTTTGGAAGGTGTTAAAGAAGATACACGGAAAGCCAAAACATTGTTTACCAACACATCACAACTATTAAGTAATCGGAAGAAAGGAGAAACAAGAACTTCATTAAAATTTCTCCGGAGAAAATAAACGGGAAACGCTAAAATATAGATCCACTAGCCAGCCCGTTTTGCGTGTATTAGACTAAGGGTGAAACCTTTCTGTCCAGTGTGTCGTTGACCTGTCGTTAAAAACGGATCCAGCCATCATGATCATGACAAACACTCTCGCTGCCATCCCCCTGTCCCCAGTCTCCCCCACACTGTCACTCAGTCCTATAGACCTGTCGAAATGCAGCGAATCGGAACTGGGGCTTTTCCTCTCTCAAAGGTAAGTTTTAACTTTTTTTTTTGGCACCTATTTTATACCACGTCAGCATGCTTGCATTGTGTTTAGACATTAGTGATATAAACACTGTTGTTGAGATTGCGTTGAATATATTTGAAACAGAATATTGGGGAGAATAGCACGACTCTAATTGCCTCACCAGAGTCGCATTATACCCAATGTTTTGATGAATAATACTAAGGTGTTTCAAGCTCCCCACCCCTACTCACATAGACAAACAGTGTATTATAATTGAATCATCTAAATAAGCTAGCACTTAAAAATCCAAAATAAGGTGCACCCTTGGGTAAACAGGCCATTTAAAAAAAAAATCTAATTAATTGACGTTTTAATTCATATGGTTTTAAAAATAACAATCTGTTTAAAAAAATTATTTTTAGTATTTTATAAAGGGACACACGCAAGCCAAGTATTTGGCTAATGATTTTGGGTCGGGATCTGAAATACAAGCGTATGACCCCGGTCATTGGGGTCGGGATAAGACATAAAACAAGTGTTTATTGGGGTCGGGGTGTGAACTAACACAAGGATCTGACACCAATTTAGGGTTGGGGTCTGAAATAACAAAGCACCTGACCCCACTTTGGGGTCGGTCGGGGTCTGACATCCACCATGAACACCTGTATTGGACCAGCCATGTTGTAACACATCACAACCTTGAAGTTATCTGAAGAGGATACTCGAAGATAAGAGGATAAGTGTAATGATACTCCAGATAACACATGCGGTCTGTAGTGTTTATTTGGTCACCTCATTCTAACACCGGCAATTGCCCTTAAGATGGACATACACACATACAGTTATATACATACGTATATGTAAATACAAGTCATATATATATATATATATATATATATATATATATATATATATATATATATATATATATATATATATATATATATATATATATATATATATATGTATTGCTAACATTTTAAAACGAAGTGCTGTTCATTTGTAACGCCACCTTAACTGTCATAGTGAATTGGAAGGGGGTGTAACTATTTGAAAATAAACCAAGTGTGACAAGATTTTGATAAAACAAAATTTACGACGTTTTTTACAAGAGTTCTACCCCTCACAATACAAGATTGTTTAATACTTTTTAATACAAATTTGACCCCCCCCCCTTGTTTACAAGATTTCTTACCCGTTATTTACATAATTTTTCTGGCCACTGTGTACAAGACTTTTGACCCCTTTTTACAAAATTTGACCCCGACTTAACAAGATTTCCGACCCCTTTTCACTTGATACTCTTGTTAGTTTTTTCATCGAGGCAAAAGGCTAAAGGTTAAAACAATGGCTTAATCTACTAGATAAATTCGGGCATGTTTGCACAGGTAGAGGGTCGCTATCAAGCATCCCCTTCGCCCTACTCCGTCTGTTTATCGTAGTTATGGGAGTTACGTCCCTTATATTTGTTCTAAAGAGGCGTAGTTCAGCAAGGGAGAGCATCCATCATCTTTGTTAATGAATCCTTTACTTATTCATATATTGTTTCAAATGACAGGAATATGCATGCAAAATGCTAAAGCAAATATAATAGTAGCAATCACAACAAAAATTGATTACAGTGTGTTAATTAAGTGACAATTATTAAACATTGTGATGAGTATCTAGGTTTTGATAAACCATACTCATATTTTGGTAATAGCTGGTATATCTAAACAACAAGAATAATGTGTAAATCCTAAAAACTGATACATGCGCATAAGTTAAACTTTAAAACACAAGAATAAAACACTCTCAACAGTCGGTACTCATTCGGTTAGTTGTTTTTTTTTTCATCTGACCGCGCGTGCATAAACCGTTTAACCCCCCCCCCCTTTCCGCCCGATGAGTATGAGTAGTGAGCACTCATACGACGTGCACAAGCCGTTTATCCCCCCCCCCCCCCATGAGTGTGAGTACCCATGTGGTGATGACAGAGCTACCACTGGTCAGACACCAATGTTAATCCTAACTCGCAGACCCCCCCCCCCCCCCCTCCCCCCACCACCTGAGACTTAAATGAGGGAAGGAGAGTGTATTAGCAGAGGGGCTGGATACATTGAGAGAAGGGTTGGAGCCGGTGATGGGGGAAAGACACTATTCGGAAATTACTATTACAAAATGGGAAAATCAGAATTATCTACTCGGGCAGATGAGGCTCGTTAGCTGAGGACAGCCACGCTTCTAGTAGAGACAACTCCAAAATGAAACAACTGCTGCCTTGTAGTTTGTTCTTGGTTGGACAAAGGCTATGAAAGCAAATCCAAAAAGAAAAGCAGGCTGAAATCGGAGTCAATGGCCTCACTGGCGCATAACCATTTGACCCGTATCCTTAATTGTGTTGGAGGCTTGGTCGAGACGGCAAAAAGCTCATGGTTGATTTTTTCGAAATAGTCTCGAGTTCAAACCCACTGGCAGATAAATCTCGATCCCTTTCAACACTAAAAATTAAGAACGAAGAAGAAGAAGAAGAAATTTTTTTTTTGCTTACTCACAAAACAACGAGTCTTGTAAATTTTAATATGTCTACTTTCTCTAAATTTAATTAGTTTATCATTAAAAGTGAATTTGTAGTTTTTTTTTTAATAGCCATCAGAACAGTAGAGTTACGTACCTAGAGTGTTTTTCTACCTGTATCACTGTTTGAGTTATGCGCGTTTATTTTGAGTTTGCGTTAAGGCTAGTGCCAAAGCTAAGACACTGATGAGTTCAGGACTCAGCTTAACATAAGGATTAAGCTTAGTGCACAGCCAAAGTAGCGATACTATCTAAAAATAATAGACTTTATCCTTTCAAGTCAGTGTGTCAACTAGACCAAAATTTCATTCAATTTTAAAAATGTGATAATTTTTTTTTTTTGTATGAACACGATTTGCATTTCATCCTTTCAACCGTTAATGTCAGTGTTTCAATAACTAGACCCACATTTCATTCGATTTGATAATTTTATTTATTTATTTATTTTTTGTTTGAACACTATTTGCATTTTATCAATAACTAGACCCAAATTTCATTCAATTTTTTAAAATATGATCACTTTTTAATTGATATGAACCTCGATTTGCATTTACATTCTTTAAACCGTTAATGTCATTGTGTCAATAACTAGACCCAAATTTTATAAATTTTTTTAAAACGTGACAATAATTATTTTTGGATGAACACGATTTGCATTTTCATCCTTTCAACCGTTAATGTCATTGTGTCAATAAACTAGAAAATTTCATTCAGTTTTACAACGTGATTATTTAATTTATGACGAACACGATTTGCATTTTCCCCCCATTCAACAAAGAAGCCAGTCGCTTACAGTTAAAGTTTGGGCAAATCTATATTTAGAACTCTGGCGTCAGATGTCGCCACGTCACCAGATGGCGCGTGCCGTGCTAATTAATTCCAATCTATTTAATCCCATTAATGTTCATATCATTTCGCATTCACAGGTCGCGGCTACTAAAGCTACCCATAATTCTGTCATCGATTTTCATGTGACTAAATGAAAGTTTGTCTGAATTATATTTCATAAGGATCGGCTCATTACCATATTATATCCTGAAACACACACACACACACACACACACACACACACACATATATATATATATATATATATATATATATATATATATATATATATATATATATATATATATATATATATATATAACTAAAAAAACAAAAACCAACAATAGTTGAACATTATTCTTGTAAATGCATTCTCGTTTATCCTTATATTTAGTAATCTAAAACTTACCTTTCCAAAAAAAAAATATAAAAAAAAAATAAACGCTTTTTTCGTTTCCTATTTATTGCCTCAAAGAGATATGTAATTCGTATTTCTTTGAAATCTCAAAAAAAAAAAAAAAAAAAAAAAAAAAAAAAAAAAATTAATAAAGGCGTTTGTAATATTTATTTTGCTCTTGTATTGGAAAATATTGATTACTTTCATAATAAAAAAACAAACTAAAAGTAATTATAAATCAACAAAAGTTTCTCAATAAAATAAATACTGAGCCTTTATCGATTTTATTCTTGAAACGTTAGACGACCCGTAGATGGTTTCCGACAAAAAGAACCCATCTGCCATATCCGCTGAATATCAACACGTCATAGCCAGCTGTTGCTAGGGCAAAAAGAACGAACTTGCGTGATGGGCCTGGTACTTCCTGTTGTCTTTTCTTCTCTACCCCCTGATGCACATACCCTATAGCTGCTCAAGATGATCGGCCCTATTACCTTGCGTAATACACATGTATATACACACGCACACTTACAATCACAATCACAATCACAATCACAATCACAATCACATTCACTTTCACATTCACATTCACATTCACATTCACATTCACATTCACATTCACATTCACATTCACATTCACATTCACATTCACATTCACATTCACATTCACATTCACATTCACATTCACATTCACATTCACATTCACATTCACATTCACATTCACATTCACATTCACACACACACCCTCACACTCACAATCACACTCACACTCACACTCACACTCACACTCACACTCACACTCACACTCACACTCACACTCACACTCACACTCACACTCACACTCACACTCACACTCACACTCACACTCACACTCACACTCACACTCACACTCACACTCACACTCACACTCACACTCACACTCACACTCAAACGTACACTCACACCCACACCCACACACAGACTGTATTTATGAAGACGTCACCAAAATCTGCTCACCGTGTGTCCATCAGGTGTCAAACGTGACGTGGAGCTCTTTTATTAACTGACTCGTTCCCTTAGCCAGTACCCCCACATCCTTGCCCGCCACCCCCACATCCTTGCCCGCCACCCCCACATCCTAGCCCGCACCCCCACACCCCACACCCATGTCCACACTCCAACACCCTTGCCCTCACCCCACACACTGCCCTCACCCCACACCCTAATCTTCACCCCACACCATCACCCCACACCCTAACCCTCA